GTTGCCAAGGAACTTGATTTCCTGCATCTGTGAAACGCATGTTTCCGGAGTCATTGGCCTCTCTCTCTCTCTCTCTTTTTTAATTGATTAAGGCTAATAAATAACCCAGGGACAGTTATCATCTGTCACCAAGCCCCTTTCATCTATGGCCCGGGGTGTTTCTGGGCTGATTATCACCCCGAGCAAAAAGTACGGAACAGGTGGAGAAAAACAAACGTAAGAAAATATATCAAAGTGTTCATTAGTGGTTTGGGGGGAAGATTCTTATCTCTATACTCTTACATTTTCTAGTTTGTGTCTTTTTTAAAAAGTAGTTGTTACGTTTATACTTGGCAAAAAGAAGCTTGAAATATTAATTTATACAATTCTGTTTATGCCACTTGAGGTAGCTATTTCTGGGGGATAACCGCCTCCCCCAGCAAGCCCTTCTCTCCTGGGAATTCCTTATCACCCAACCCAATTCCCAGGGAAGAGTCCCAGGCAGCCATGTGTATACGGGCCAGGTTTTAAATCAAATGCTACCCCTTCAGACACTTTCCAAACACCCACCTAAAGATTTTATTTATTTATTTTTTTGATAGAGACACAGTGAAGAGAGGGAACACAAGCGGGGGGAGTGGGAGAGGGAGAAGCAGGCTTCCCACTGAGCAGGGAGCCCGATGCGGGGCTTGATCCCAGGACCCTGGGACCATGACCTGAGCCGAAGGCAGACGCTTAGCGACTGAGCCACCCAGGCGCCCCTCCAAACACCCGCCTAAAATACACCCTCCCTCCCCCCGCCAACAACTCATTCTGTTTTTATTCGTAGAGATTATCCTATCAGCAATTATTTTACTTTCTTGTCTAACATTTTTCTCTTTTCAGTCTATTGTGTTTATTTCTGTGTCCCTAGGACCAAGAATAGTATCTGACGTATAGTCCGCACTCAACAAAATATCCACGGAACAAATGAAAAAGTCCCATGTGACCCCCACCTGCCTGGCCAGAGTTGACAGGACCAGGGAGAAGACCCTGAGGAAAGCAAGGCCAGTCAGAACATTTCTGTCTGGAATTTGGAAATGTTGTGGTAACACGTGGATGTGGAATTTGCAGGGTGGCCGTATTCTGGCTTCCGGGCCAGAGAAGGAAAAATCTGGATGAGGGAGAGAAGAAGGCATGTGTGCAAAGCAAGAGGGGCCTGGCCCCACAGCCTGCCTGGGCCTGCTGGGTTTCAGCTGTGGGTTGCATCACCTTAATAATGTTTTGTGTTTTGGGTTAGGCCAGCTGGAGTTGGTGCCTCTTACCTGCAACCGAGGAGCCCTAATCAGTCAATATACCTATGGTTACAGTCAAGTTTTTAAAATACACAGCAACAAGATTTGGAAGAAATACTCCCGAATGTGTGCCTCTGAGTGACTTCATATGATAAGATTTCATAAGAGCCTAGCTTGCTATATTGTCTAAAATAAGTCCGTGTTACTTTTATGATTAAAAAATTATATATACATATATATATATATATATTTATTTATTTATTTTCCCAATTCCCAAGAATCATAGTGATAGACCTGGAGGATTCCAGGAGGTCCTACTCTGTCCAACCATCTTAGTTGAGGGTGAAGAAGGGCGAGGTTAGGCAGTGAAATCCCTCATCCAGATTCACAGAGCTCCATCACACCACCGTGCCTCAGGCTTCCTGCTGCCCAGGACGGTATTTTCTCGGGGGGGTCTTTGGCCAGATGCTACGCTTTTTACCCTGAAATGCTACATTTCAGGTTTTTTTTTTTTTTTTTTTTTTTTTTTTAAATAATGACTTCTCTCACTCAGAGGGAAAAAAGCTTCCTTTTAGGGGTTGGTCCCAGCGAGTTGGGTGTGGCTGTCATACTGCGCGTTGGGCAAGTCTCTGAGGCAGCTGTCCAGACTGGGTGAGTCGGCAGCGCTGCAGCTGAAGAAGGACGTCTGCCCCGAGCACAGCACAGGGGGAGAGCAGTGGGGGAAAGTTCTGTTCTGGCGCTTCCCCGGGTGTGGAGCAAAGCTGCCTTAACGAGAGAAGGGAAAGGGATGGGAAGTGGGGGGATCATTTGTCTCACATTCATCTCTAGCCTGCGGTTTACATTATCAGAAGTTCTGTTTTGTATAATGCTGGCATCATAAGGGCATAAAGAGTGGCTGTATCAATTCCACTTTGCTTTTTTGTTAACTTTGTTTGAAACTTCACTGCACTTTTTTTTTTTTTTTGGCTAGCTGGGGCCGCAAAGGACTGCCTGTCCCTAGGCAGGGGTGTTAGCTGACGGATTCATCCTCAGCGTACCTGGTCAACCCTGAGGCCTGAAGGAAGCGCTGGTGCAGGGCGGTCTACTTCTGGGCTGGACCATGACGTGGCTCGAATTCCTGAGGAAATCTCACCGAGCTGCTGGTTTGCTTGCATCTTGGAGCGCCTGCACCACTCCTACCTAGTTTTAAGAAAACTCCTGAAATGATCCAGGGACCCACCTGCATGGTACACAGCCCTGCCTGAGGGTCCATAAACCAACCAGACGGGGAGGAGGTGCTAACCATCCAAAGAGCATCACAGGGACGAGCCACAAACTGTCTCAGAGAATCTGGGGAGGGGGGAGATGAAGCTGTTGCAAGAAGATGGAGCCCAGGAGCACAGAGAGGCGTTCCCCATCCCCCATGGAAAACAAGCCTGTCACTTGCCCCTGCTTCTCCTCCAGTCCCCACTTCTGTGGCCCAGCTGCTGGCAACCCCCACGGGGGCACCTGCAACGAGTCTCACCTCCCTGCGCCGCCCAGCACTCTGAGGGCCCCTGCTGTCCTTGGGCAAGGTTGGGGAGGGGGCGCATTCATCTGGTTTTTGGGCAGAGGTACTTCCTCTGAGAGGCCCTCTGCGGGTCCTGTGGGCTGGAGCCGCACCACTCTGGAGTCAGGGCTGGAGCGGTCTTAAATATTTGCTAAGCGGATCATAAACGTGACCTCACCACGGACCCAGCTGCCAGCATCTCAAAATGCAGGGAAAGCTGACGAGATGAGTCAAATGGAACTGGAAACTTCATTTTCCACTAACTTAGATATTTCTAAGGAGGATTCCAGGACTCAGATTTATCTGAGAACTTGGTCCTGTATCCGTGTGCCAATCACCTGTGAGTGTAGAACTTAGGTTGGAATGAGACCAGAGGGAGATAAAAGGGATTTTCTGACTCTGCAAGTGGTTAAACTCTGAATGATTTAGGGATTTTTTTTTCACCTCTACAAATCGAAAGTGGAAGAAATTCTCTTCTATCTGGACAATTTTCTTATGTGTTCCAGGCTGCACAAAGGGTAGAAATCACTAATCTTGTAAAGGCTTTTGCAACCCTGAATTCTTAAGACCCTGCTCTTACATAATGTACTTTCTTTTTTTGCTTGTGTTGAATGTAAGTGTTTGTTCTACGTGGCAGCCAAACGCTACACAAAGCACAGCATGTAGGTTTCCTCTTGCAGATCAGGTCCCATGAATTGCTAGGAGCCGCCTGGAGTGCTGTGTTAACAAGCACTCCGAGGGCCCCCGGAACGAGTGGTCAGCAATGTCTGCCACGGAAGGGAAGTGGGGGATGGGGGCTCTCATACCCCATATTTGACATCCCTGCGTTAAATCAAGGGGCACCTTTCAGACCTCTACACCCAGGGCTAAGTTCTTAGGATTCTGGAAAATGGACCATTAACAGGTGTAGAAGATGAGAATTCATTATCAGTGGTTTCTGCCAAGGAACAGATGATGTAGCTGCCTCAGAGACAAGTTGGTTATTTACTAATTGATGCCTCCTCTGAACTCCCTGTGACCAGCAGAAAGTAGGGGTTCGCACTCTCTACTGTGCTTTGGCACCCAGCCTCCCCAGGAGTGGTCTCCTAGCCTTGCCTTCTCGGATCCATCCTCTGCAAGGTGGATGCACTGAGCGTTCTGTCTTAACTCCTGACTGTGTCTGCCCCCTCCCATCCACCACAGGACAGTTACTTGCTTCTGCATAAGGTTCATCTTGATCTGGTCCATGCTTCCCTCTCCATCCCCATCTCTTGTTCCTCTTTTCCTTGGCACCTTATGTCCTAGCCAAGCCGAGTTCCCTGTTCCGCCTGACCTTTTTCACCTGGGGCTCCTTCTGTGTGGGGTGCCCTGCTCCCCTCCCATCACTCCCTCTTTGAGGCTCAGCTTAGTTGTCCTCCAGTGACCTTCCTCAATGCTCCTCCTTTCCCCTCAGGCTGGTTAAAGAGCCGCTGGAACTCGCTCTGTGCTCATGTTGTCCCCATACTGTGATCAGAGGCTTGTCTATCGCCCCTACTAAACCCTGAAGCTCTAGGAGGCAAGAACTGCATCTATGATCCATATCTAAACCACTAGGGCAATGGATAGCCCACAGGAGGGGCTTCATGCATGCTTAGAAGATGAGTGGATGGAGGGGAACTGGGTAGATTTCCCAAATTCATGAAATAAATGGTGATTCACCAGGGATTATCACTTATGATTGTTAGGTTGACGCGACCCATTTCCCCACAGTCTCTTCACTGTGGCACCAAACTACCTGCTCTCCTGGCCCCGTCTGCTGCTTTTCTCAGTAATGGTTACCGTAGGAAATCCAAGTGCCAATTATGACCTGTGTAAAAGTCTAGAAATTCAAAGTCACTGAATCTTAGACCTAGAAGAGACCTTTTGGGTCATCCTGTTCAGCTGAGGTCTAGAAGGCAGAATCTATGTCTCGTCCATGTCTCCCTGCCGCCTCCTGCCCCCCACCCTCCCTCTCTCTATTTTGGAAAAAGGAGTTGTTTTCAGCAACTATAAGGGCATCTGTGAAAACTCTGTGACCAACTTTTTGTGGTCTGTATGATGACAGATATTTAATTTTGATTTATACAAAGGTGAAACTGTGCAGCTGTGTGCAGCTCTAATTCCCAGAACCCTTGACCAAAATTTCCTGTTTTTTTTCCTCAAAAAAAAAGAAAAGAAAAGGTAGTTGGCTCATTTTGGAGGAGGGGAGCGACATGTTTCACCTTACGTAGCTGTGTTTTTTTCTCATAGTACGCAATCGCAGGGATGGACGCTCGGTAGTAGGTTTCAAGGCGCTTGGCGATGGTGGCGGCGTCTTCCGCGCAAGGGCTGTTCTGGCTCCGCTGGAGAAGGCGGTTAGTCATGGTGTCTGCTGAGCAGTCCATGCAGATCACCAAGTGCGGGTCTCCAATCTGGGGGTGGGGGAGCACAACATGGTCAGAAATTCCACTCTGTGATGTTCTGGAAAGACCTCTAGTTCTTTCCTTTCCTGGCCTTCTGGTTCTTCTCAAGGTCCCCCAACTACACCATGGCAGAGTTGAGACTGGACTTCATGGCTCCTGTTTTCTAGGTTGGTGGTTTTCCATGTGCTGCCTTAGAGCTATCTCTTACCCTCAGCTTTTCTCACCTCACAAAATGTAGGGATCATATAGTATGCTACCTACTACAGTCACAATCTGTCCTCCATACTGAGGGGACATCTGTGTGTGTATGCGTATGGGTGTTTCCTCTGGAAAGCCTTCCCTGACCTACTGAGGCAGAGCTAATCACTTCCTTCTTTGTATCGGGTTGTATCCTACGAGACCACTAGGAGCACGGTGTGCCTGTGTCTGTTTGATGCGGGGTCAGCAGAGCATAAGGGTTGAAGGCACAAAGGTTGGAGTTGGGCTGCTTAAGGTGTGGTGATGTTCTCTAAGGTGGTCTTCATCAATTCCTTGCCTTGGTGTACTTGAAGCTCTTCCTCCACTGAGACAAAGAGCTCAGAACTCTACCTCCTCGAAACTGAGCTGATCCATAGCCACTTGGACCAAAGGAATATAATGGAAATGATGCCATATGCTTTTAGATCATGAGAAATTTTGCAGTTTGGGCCTGATCAACTAGATGTCCAACCATTCTGACTGCTAAGCTGTGAGGAAGCCCAAGCTCGCCACTCAGAGAGGCCTTGCAAACAGAGATGCCTGGCTAGCTCTTGATTGTTTTAGACATCCCAGCCCTGGCTCCAGATATGTACCCTAGCCTTAGCCACTATCTGACTGTACAAAGTCAACTGTACAAAGGACCTCAAGTGAGAACCAGCCAGCCAAGCCCATCAAACCCCAGAGCCCTCTTAGAGAAAATAACAAATTGTAATTTTAAGCTATCTGACTCCGTCATTAACTGAAAGCATCAGTCAACTTCTCTGCACCCCAATTTCTTTTTTTTTAAAGTAGGCTTCACGCCCAATGTGGGGCTTGAACTCACGACCCTGAAATTGAGTCACATGCTCTACTACTGAGCCAGTCAGGTGCCCCTCATTTTCTCATTTGTACAATGAGGATGATCACAGATTGCTGTAAGGAGTAAGCAAAATTAAATAAAATAATGTAAGTATGTTGTTTGGCATATGGTACTTAATAAGTGTTAGCTATTAGGCTTATTTCTCCTATTAGGCTACAATCTCTGTGTGCAGGGTTATGAATGCTTGACTCCTGGTCCCAAGTCTTGCAGATAGTAGGTAGGTGATTAAGAAATGTTTCAGTGAATAAATGATGATGATATGATCAGCAGCAGGAATCTCCCAATCTTTCTCTGAAACGTTCTTTGGCTCCTAATATCTCTGTGTCTGTGTCTCCCATACCACAACCACCAAGAAAATTGCTCCCTCTCGTCACCTTGCAGTGGTCAGGCTGTGAGTAAATGAAGGCTTGCCGCCCCACTGTGGAAAGTGCCTGGGAGGGATGGGAACAAAATTGGGGGGGAGGAGGACTTTTAAGGCACCATGGAACAGTAAGTTGCTAGTAAGGGTTGACCAAACATTTATCTACCCCCTCTACAGGATGTACTTGAAGGAACAGGGTGAGAAAACTCTCCAAAAATCTAGAAACGTGAAACAAACCTCTGGATTATGTCATGCACTTTTTCTGCCTGTATTAATTGGAAAACAAAAATGAGCGTTTGAGCAGCGTGAAAGGCTGGGTGTAGAAGGAAATGACTCGTGTCTACCAGCAGAGGGCGAGCTTGGGAGGCAGCCTGGGGTTCGGTTAGAGTTCGGCTCCCTGGAGCAGTTTCCGGTGGGGTCTGCATGAGAAGATAAGGTGATTTTTCTAATTGTGGGAATTTGGGGGCCCCTCCTGAAGACAGGAAAGATAATTCCAGGACTCATTCAGGGGCAAACAGAGATAATGGGTATCTGAGCTGGAGCTGGCGTCAAAATAAGTGCAGAACTGAGCGGTAGTCTTGGCTTCCCACGGATTCCCGCAGCGTGGCCCACAGACCAGTGGCACAGGCATCATTTGAGAGCGAGTGAGAAAGGCAGTCCCAGGCACCATCCCTGACCCCGCTGAATCAGTCTCGCACTTTAAGAAAATCTCCAGGCCAATTCTAGACAAAATAATAGTTTGAAAAGCTGTTCTACCAAGCCATTTCCAAGACAATGGGGTTTGACCGGACCTTCCTCCCACGCTCCCTTCCTACAGAAAACGCTGTGGAGCCGTCATTCCATTTGGAAGCGGCCTGTACCACTAATGGTTCTAGTACCTAAAAGTTTCTGAAATGTCTGAATGAAATACTATTTAATCATTTTCCAAAGCACTATGATCTATATCTATCTTCAGAAAGTCCTCTGGAGTAGCTCTCTGTGTCCCAGCTCTGCCTCTTTTTCATGAGACTGTGGTTTACCATTAACACCACGTGACCAGGAGAGCACTCTGCCCTTGTCTGAATGACTCACAGAGACTTGGCGACACCTCCCTGCCCCCAGTATCACCCTGCTGGTATCCCTGGAATTCTGCCACAGCAGAATTGGGTTCTTCATAGCCTTTGGGTATTCAGGGGATCCCTGTTAGAGCACGAGGGTCCTGTAGGGGCGGTTGGCATCCTGCAAGCAAACAGGCTTTACCTACAGCCATCCCTTTAGCCCGTTTAGCCCTTTTCCTGCCGGGAAGTATTATCTCTCTTCTGAGTAAGAGGAAATGGAGGTTCAGGGAGGTTAACTTGCCCAAAGCCACAGTCAGCTGTGTGTGGCTCCAAAGCCTGGTGACTTCACCCTCGTGGAATTCTCCTTCAGGAGGGGGCTCAGGCCAGATGCCTGGTGGGCCAAACAGGGCCAGGAGAGGAGGGCAAGACAGTGGGAAAGGAAGTGGGTGGTGTGAGAGACCATTATATTTTGCGGAAGCTGGCTCTCGCTGCATCTTGGGATTGAGTTGGGATGAGCGCTCATCCCAGCTGAGAGCAGCCACCAGGATGAGAATGTCAGCTTCAGCTGTCTTTGCCAAATTTCGAATTAATTCCTTGCCTGTAAATTTGGAGGGGGCTCTACAAACAATGGGGTCCCTGCAGGAGCATAAATGAATCAAGAGCGGCTCATTCTGTGTATTTTTAGCATCTTTGTTCTTCTGGTCAAGTTTAAAGCAAGTAGTTGCTTTGGAAGGTTGGATGTGTTCCCTTGCATACAGCCTAAGTAAGGGACATTAGAATCTTCCAAGGTCACTGTACCCACTGACCATGCTTGACCTTTGCAAACTCCTCCCAGCAGTGTGTAAAAGACTGTTTTTGTAGACCTCTCAAGGTAGGTCATCTGTTCATTAATGAAACTGGGCACTTGTGTATTTTTTGAAATGGCATCATGAATTTTAACATTGGTTGAAACTGCCTGGTCACCACGCTAATGACTCTTTCTCACTCCTGAGTTCCAGTAAGCTTTCTTCTCTGCCACATTCCTTTTTTTTTTTTTTTAAGATTTTATTTATTTATTTGAGAGAGAGATCGAGAGACAGAGAGAGAGCACAAGCGGGGGGGGGTGCAGAGGGAGAGGGAGAGGGAGAAGCAGGCTCTGCACTGAACTGGGAGCTGAGGCTTGATCCCAGGACCCTGAGATCATGACCCGAGCCCAGGGCAGACTTAACCGACTGAGCTACCTAGGTGCCCCTCTGCCACATTCTAATGCCTGTCTGAATGGGGCCCACAGTGGGAGGGGGAGTTCTGCTTTACTTTGGGGGAAATCATATGGGTTTTTGAATTCATATATGCCAAAGGCCAGGGACAGACCACTAGCCATGTAAAACCTTTACTTCATGCTACCTGGGTTATAAGCAAAGGAGAAAGGTTTGACCAAATTGGGATTTACAGATTTGTGTGAGGTGTGATTAAAAAAAATGAGTGACTGCCTTCGGCTCAGGTGATGATCCCAGGGTCCTGGGATCAAGCCCCGCATCGGGCTCCCTGCTCAGCGGGAGGCCTGCTTCTCCCTCTCCCATGCCCCCTGCTTGTGTTCCCTCTCTTGTGTTCTCTCTCTCTGTCAAATAAATAAAATAAAATCTTAAAAAAAAAAATGAGTGACTCTGGGGCACCTGGGTGGCTCAGTTGGTTAAGTGTCCGACTCTTGATTTCGGCTCAGATCATGATCTCAGCGTTGTGAGATCAAGCCCCCCGTGTCATGCTCTGTGCTGAGCGTGGAGTCTACTTATGATTCTCTCTCTTCCTCTCCCTCTGCCCCTCCTCCTGCATGTGACTGCGCTCTCTCTCTCTCAAAAAAAAAAGTGACCCTAATTGAGATAATATTTTATAGCCTTTTATAGTTTAGAAAACACATTTATGTAGTTATGTCATTCAATGTTCACAGAATCTTCGAATTAGGGTTTGGCAGGTGTGTTTTTACCTCCATTGTCCAGAGGAGGAGGCTGAAGTTGAGTGACCTGTCACACTAATATCGGACAGAGGCAAGATTCAGCTTTTTGAACTCCGGACCACTTGACTGACATGCTTTAAAGAAGCTCTACATGAATGCCACTGCTCAAAACAGTTTGGAACCCCACAGGCCTAAAATCAGGGATTTGCCTCCAGTCATAAAAATCCCCAAGGGAGAATACGGATTATAACTTTTATAATTGTTGTTTGCACATAGTAGTTGACCAAAAAAAAAAAGAGAGACACGCTCATCTTTACCATACATCTTCCTTACCACACTGGACCATTTGGGGGCTTCAAAAGAACAATTTAGAAAAGTAGACTTTTCAAAGACATTTTCCCCCAGCACTTCCAAGCTACTGCATGACCTGTCCTGACTCTCTTGGAGACCCTCCCAGGGCTCTTCGGACCTTAAGTTCACAGGCAAAGTAAGTGTGAAATCACCTAGAAGTGTGCTGTCACCATGAAGCCTGAAGCTTAGGAAACACCATGGGCCCTGTTGCCGTTACAGGGTATCTCCCACTGTATTTGAATGGTGTGCTTCCACAACCGCCAATCCCTGCTAGCAGGCAGCCTGTCAAGGGCCTGACCCCACAACAACTCCTCTCTACCCTCTCTCCATCCTCTAGACTTGCCAAGGCCCTGTTTCTGAAGTCGTGTAGAAGACATTTCCCTGTTACTCAGTTATTCAAGCTGTATCCCCAGGAACCTTATCCACGGCTTGGCTAAAAGACTAGAAGAGGCTAAAATGTAAAACAATCTACAGAAGACTCAATATGGTTAAGATGTCAGTACCACTCACAGTGATCTACAGATTTAAAGCAACCCCTATCAAAGTCCTAATGGCATTGGCTTTTTTTTTTTTTACAGAAATAGAAATACCCATCCTAAAATTCACATGGAATCTCAAGGTTTCCTCAATAGGCAAAACAATCTTGAAAAAGAGCCCAGTTAGAGGTCTCACACTTCCTGACTTAAAAACTTATTACAAAGTCACAGTGATAGAAACAGTGTGGTACTGGCATAAAGACAGACATATAGACCAATGGAATAGAATAGAGGGCCCAGAAATAAACTCTTACATAGATGGTCAAATGATTTTTGACAAGGGTGTCAAGACCATCCAGCTGGGGAAAAAACAGTCTTTCCAACAAATGGCATTGGGAAAACCACATATCCACATGCGAAAGAATGAAACTGGACCCTTACTTTGCACCATATACAAAAATTGGTCAAAATGAATAAAGACCTAAATGTAAGAACTAAAACTATAAAATTCTTAAAGAAAATAGGAGAAAAGCTTCATGACATTGGATTTGGCAGTGGTTTCTTGGACATGACATTAAAACACAGGGAACATGGGGAGCGTGGGTGGCTCAGTCGTTAAGCGTCTGCCTTCGGCACAGGTCATGATCCCAGGGTCCTGGGATGGAGCCCCGCATCGGGCTCTCTGCTCAGCAGGGGAGCCTGCTTTTCCCTCTCCCACTCGTCCTGTTTGTGTTCCCTCTCTAGCTGTCTCTCTCTGTCAAATAAATAAATAAAATCTTCAAAAAAACTCCCACAGGGAATGAAAGCAAAAACAGATAAATTAGACTATATCAAAATAAAAAGCTTCTGTGCATCAGGGTGCCTGTCTGGCTCAGTCAGTGGAGCATGCGACTCTTGATCTTGGGGTTGTGAGTTCGAGCCCCATGGTGGGTGTGGAGATTACTAAAAAAATAAAATCTTAAAAAATACCTGTGCATCAAAGGACACAATCAATGGAACGAAAGGCAACATACAGAATGGGAGAAAATATTAGCAAATTATATATCTGATAAATAAATAACTCCTACAACTCAATAACAAGAAACCAAACAACCTGATTCAAAATGGGCAAGGGATGTGAGTAGGCATTTCTCCAAAGAAGATATATAAATGGCCAACAAGAACATGAACAGATACTCAACATCTTTCATTCAATCTTTGGGAAAATGCAAACCAAAACCACAATAAGAGATCATCTCATGCCCATTAGGGTGGCTCCTCCCAAAAACCCCAGAAAATAACAGGTGTTGGTGAAGATGTAGAGAAGCTGGAACGCTCGTGCACTGCTACTGGGAATGTAAAATGGCGCAGCGGCTACAGTAGGTGGTGTGTGATAGAATTACCAGACGCTCCAGTGATTACACTTATGTGTATATATATATATATATACCCAAAGGAGTTGAAAGCAAAGTCCTGAAGAGAGATTTGTACATCCATGTTCGTAGCATTAGTTACAATAGCTGAAGAGTGGAAGCAACCCAAGTAACTGTTCATGGATGAATGGATAAACAAAATATTCTTCCGCCTTAAAGAGGAAGGAAATTGTAACATGTGCTACAACATGAATAACCTTGAGGACATGATGCTAAGTGAAATAAGCCAACCGCAAAAGGACAAATCAGGCTGATTCCACTTAGAAGAGGTCCCTAGAGTCATCAAATTCATAGAGCTAAAAGTAGAATGGTGGTTGCAGGGGCTGGGGCAGGGGGGAGAGAGACAGGGAGTTGTTGTTTAATGGGTGTAGAATTTCAGTTTTCCAAGAAGAAAAGACTTCTTGAGACTGGTTGCACAACAACGCAAATACACATAACACTACTGAACTCTACACTTAAAAGTGGTTCAGATGTTAACTTTTATGTTATGGGTATTTTACCATGATATTTAAAAAAAGTATCGCAATCTTCCCAATTCCATTTTTTTTTTTTAAAGTAGTTGATATATATCTAAGTTTGAGCTCTTAAAGTGGTTTGTTGTGCAGGAGAAAGCTCAGTAGAATACTGGCTGTGAGCGCCCCCCCACTGGGACCTGCCTGGAACCACCAGAGTCACAGGCTCTGCTACTCCCACCTTGTGCTGGAGGCTCCAGAGCCGAGGGACAGCCCTGGTGGGCTCATCCCACTCTTGCCAACTAGGCCAGCACATTTTTTCTTTGACTTTGGTTGCGGGCAGGAAATGTAGGGGAAGGTGAGCAACTGGCCTTTAAATATTCAGATACTACCTAAGGAAGTTCAATCAAACAGGCTCAGAAAGTCAGACTAACCTCCAGGAGACACACAAGTCCGATTCACTGTAATCCACATTGCAGTGTTAGAGATGGATGGAGATGGGCTCTGGAATCTTCATCCTACCAGCAGTTGTCACTTACCGGCCATGTGACTGTGGGCAAGTCATGTAATCTCTTTGGGCTAAATTCATCACCTTTAACATGAAGACAATACCTCCTCTATCTATCTAAAAAGGTTATTAAAAATATGTGAAATGAAATATGAAAATGTCTTAAAACTAGTCTAAAGAGCTATCTAGATAAATATGAATTCTTGTGAGCTCTGGAATCTTTGTTTAATAACTGGGGACGATTGTTTCCCCCTTGCTTGGACTTTAGAGGTAAATGGATGTACAGTGTGTAACACCAGAGTGAGCCCAGAGTAGGTTCAATAAAGGATAGTTACGATGGTTTTTATTTACTACTGTTCCCCTGTGAGTGGCCCTGCCCCACCTGCTTCACTAGGAGACGGAGCGACTTGGGGAGGTTGGATGCTGGGAGGCTGGAGCAGTGCATATATTTGACTCTGCCTGTCCAGCAACAATTCCCTTTCTGGCTTCTAAGGGCATCCCTATTCTTTCTTGGGTAATTTCCCTGCCCTTTCTCAGTCCAAGTGCTTCAGGGATGGTGCACCCTCCTCCCTTCCCATCCCCAGCCTGGTCTTCCAGGATGAATCAGTGTATTCCTAGATATTCCATTATATGCCCTCCCATCTTCCCCTTGGCCACAGTGATTGGTTCAGCGATGGGCTCATGACCTAATCCAGGATAATGAAACACTACCCTGGGTCATCTGATGCCCACATTGGAAAAGGAAAACACTCTCTCTGAGATCATTTAGATGGTGAAATATAAGACCGGAATCCAAGAGATGGAGAAAGGCACACAAGGGATGGACAAATCTGGATACATGGGTCCAACCAAGTGTGAACCACTCCTGGACATTTTAGTTACTTGAGCCAATAAATCCAGTACCATCGCCCACCTACCCCACTCCTTTCTTTTTTGGTCAGTTTGTGTTGAGTTTTTGCCATTTGCAACTGAAAGTTTGATTAATGTAATTAGGAGAGGGATAAACTTGAATTTATCCCCCAACCTCAATGATGTCCTTTATTTTCCTTCTGGGAAGATCTCCATAAAAACAGCTCACCCTACGTCCGAACTCTTCCCCTTGCTTCACTTCCTGGGGATAGCCATCAATCAGGAAGCCCTTGGTGTCACTGAGGCTGGCCAACATGGCCTCCTTCAGGAGCTCCAGAATGATGCCCTGGAGCAGAGAGACAGTGGTCAGGATCTGAGCTCTGTACAGAACAACACTAGCATTACTACCCATCTCCACTAATCATCCCATTTTGGAAGGGAGAAAGGTTCAGATAAGATTAACAGCCAAAAGAAATGTATCATATTTCATCCACTCTTAGGTTCACTTTCCCCCCACATTTTATTGTCTATGAAATTGGTAGCTATCTTACAATCAGTCACAGTTTAATAGTGGTTTTTTTTGTGCTGGTATATAGTTATATATGGAATAGTTTATCAGTTATATTTTACTGGGGTGTCTTAAAATAGCATCTTAGAATAGATGAAATATAGTGGCTGTATTTCATATGGTAACACTCCATAAATTAAACATAATGGCAGTTTAAAACTAGGCAAAACATAGTATAGAATGTGCTTCTCTGTTGATTTTTTCCAGTAAATACTTTATAACAGTTGATATTCACTGACTTGAGAGAATTGCTAGGGATGGTAGCTGGTTGAAGAGGAAGCATAAAGCTCTGTTAGCTAATACAGCCTGCACTGTACAAGCCCTAATTACAGAGCCTAGCATGGGCCCTCATAGGGCAGGAATGAATATTTTTTGATACCTATGGCATCCATCAGCTCAGAGACGGATGGTGATTTGAAAGGAAAAAAGATGCATGAAAGGGATATTCTTTACTTAAACTATCTAAGGAAGATACCAGATTGCAAGATAATGCTATCATACTTTCCAGAACTAGACTAAAACATTATTTTCTATTTTCCAAAGGGTTCTAATTATAGGCTCTGCTGCAGCATGCTCACCTCGGCTTTGAAGGTTTTAACACTAACGTGGGGACCAGTTTCCTGGGAGAATATGAGATAGGCTAACACTCGAGGGGCTGGCAGAGCAACAGAGTGGAAGGAACCTGGGCCGGGACATGGTCTGGCAGATGGGTCTCTGCTATGGACCCTCCACCTGCCTCTTGACTTTCACATCAGGGAGAAATAAAATGTCGCTATTGTCTTTTGGGGCTTCTTTTCTCCAGCAGCTTACACTAACTGCAACACTCCCAAATATCCACCCCCGCCTCCCACCAGGGAAAGCAGCTGTTGCTTACTGAGGGTACCAGGTCGCCACGTTCCATGATGTCTCTGATCAATTTGCTTCTTTCAGATTCTGATGCCAGCTCATTACTCAGGAGCTCACTAGTCGAGAGATGTGTAAATCCATATTTTTCCACCAGCTTTTCACACTGTGTGCCTTTGCCAGAGCCCGGGCCACCTAGAAAAGGAGTCATGTATCAGACACCTGTCCCAAGTCTCCATGGTGTACAAGTCTATGCACTTCATTCACCAAGCACATATGGGGTACTTATGCTTTATAGGGAACTGTGTTGGGAGTTGTGGATACAGTGGAGAAGGGGGAACATTCCTTGCCCTCAAAGAGTGGGCTATCCAGGGCAGGGGGATTGGCGGGCGTTATACACAACAAGCAGTTAGTAGGTAGCTACTGTAGTGTTCTAGTGGGGAGAGTTCATGCTGCTCCAGGGGCACTGGGGAGGGGCGCAGGACTCTTTTGGTAGAGACGAAAGAGAAGTTTCCTGGGGAACTGAATATGCTCATGGGCAAAGCACTGACCACGGTGCCAGGTACACAGTGGGTGCTCAACAAATCTTAGCTATTAATTTTTAAAATACATTGTTTTCATTTCCAAACAATCCCAACCGTAGAGAAGAATTATCAGTAGAGAATGAAGAACTTCCTGAAATATTTGAGAGTAAGTAGCCAACCTGATGCCTCATCACTACAGAACACTTTGGTTTCAGTGCCTCCAGACAAGGAGCTAAGCACATCTTGCTACATAACTACATCTTCAGAACCCATTCAGATTTCAGTGGATTTGTCCCAGTAATGTCCTTTGAAGCCAATGGGTCAAATTCAGAATCAAGCATTGCCTTTAGTTGTCAGGTCCTTCTGGTCTCCTTCCATATAGAATAAATTTCTTCATGTTTCCTCGACACTTTTGAAGATTATTTTGTAGAATGTACTTCAGTAAGATTTTTTTCCTGCTGTTTTCTGAATATTATTATTAGTTCTGAGTATGAGCCATATTCCTTGGATGAGCATTATACCCTTGACTCTTTCTCTTGCCTTCCCTCACCCCAATTTCAACCAATTGCTAAGTTGTAAGATATTCTTTTCAGATGTAAAATCATAGCTAACCTTTATCAGGAGCTTACTGTACCACCCACTGTTCTAAGCATTTCATGTATTAATTTAAAATAATCTTAAGAGGCAGGCACTCTTGCCCTTATTTTATAGATGGGGAAGCAGAGGCACAGAGAATTAACTCGACTGCCATAGCTGCGCGGCTGGTTTGTAGCAAGTCAAGGATGTGAAGCCTGACTCCGGCTCTTAGAGGCATTTCCTCCTCTCTTCCCTGCTAGCCAGGCTTGTCTGTAGGAAGAGCAGGTCCTCAAGAGTAATTCCGCCTCCGCACGGGACAGTGGGTGAGGCTCTGGAGTCCAGCAGACCTGCTAGCAGGGTGATTCGCCTGAAAAGCATTGACGCTTCCGAGGTCCAGAGCATTCAACCGCTTCCCAGTCCCCACAGGATAAGATCCAAACCCCTTAGCATGGCATTTCAACCTTCCAGAATCTAGTTTAAGCTCTCCAACCTTTCTTTTTTTGTTTCATTTCTGATCCTCGTCTAACACTGGCATGTCCAGCTACATACTGTCCCTGCAACAAGACATATTTTTCCAGGCCACCATGCTTTTGCTCTCCCAGATCTTCAGCCTCGTAGGCCCTTCCTTCCTCCTCTAACTATTGAGATCCTCTTCATCTCTTAGGCCTCCATCAGTTGCTTGCCCTTTCTGCCGGGAATCAGTCCTGCCTCCCCTCCCCTCTGTGGGAGGGAGTGGTTTCGACAGCACGTGGGTGCCCTCAGCCTGTCCGCCACTTGGCCTCCAGGTCCCTCACTAGTATCGCACCTTGTACACAGTAGGTGCTTCATAAGTGCCTGAGGAACTGAACTTTTTCCTGTTAGAGGGAATATTGAACGCTAAAATGCAAAATGTGGTGGAGATGTTAACATGGTAGTGAGGATTTATGACTTATTCCACCATTTCCCTGGTTCGCCTCTCTCCATACTCAAAACGCCTTTCTCTGGACAGTTAGCAACTTCCCTCTTGAGGGAAGCTTAGTTGTTGTTCCTTGTTAGAAGGGCCTCGTCTTTTCTCTCCTTTGCCTTGGCAGAAAATAAAGGAAAGGTCCACGTTTTCTACCTTCCACTGTCCGCTAATCGGGAAGGGTTCCGACACCTCACAGGACTGTTGTGGGTGGGCTAGACAGAACAGGAAAGCACCGGTTACAGAGGCTCACAAAAAGAAGGCAGACCACTCAGGAGGAGCAGCTGGTCCCCAGCTAGTGCCACACTCGCTCTGAGCACCAGGACGCGTCTCCTACGATAATAGAAATGGAGGGGGAGTATGGCAACAAGAGGTCACTCAGGCACGAAGTGCTTCCAGATAAAGGAGTAAGGACGACGAGGGGCTGAGCCCCTGCAGAAGCCTCCGGGGCTTCTGTGGCCGGATTCACCTGGAAACCCTTCTCTTGGGATGGCTGGAAGCCAGTCATGTGGAAAAGGTATTTTCAGACTCGGCTTACAAGGCAAAAATGTGGCGCTCTAATGACTTTCTTCCTTCAGCATTCCACGAATCCGACTATTACAGTTTTTGTTCCTCTAAAATGTTATTTAATAAATTTTGACGCAAAGGCAATTAAAAATCTTCAGCTCAAATGAACAACAGCTGTGTTCAGCGGCAGCCCTGCCCCACTTAGGAGCCTTTTGTGGACCAACAGCGGCAAATTCTCAGCATTCTTTGGCCCAATGGTGCAGGCACAGTGGAATTTTAAGTAATCCACACAATGCCTTGATTCTTCCCATGGCTTCCAACTGGAGAACAAAGTGATTTTTATCACTGCGGTGAAGGCACAGAAACTGCGAGGAGAAATATGAATTTTCATATCATGTCACTTGCACATCTTCGAGGCCTTACGACTTTTAAATAAAAAACAATGGGGCCTTGATATCCCTCCAGGATAATTTGTTATAATGGAAAAAAAATCTTTTGAGGTGCCACATATCAGAACGAGTGGGCTGTGTTCTCGGGTGACAAGATGACTGATGGCAGATGAGGAGTTGTCACATTTCCTGTCATCTCACTGACTTCTGGTGGATCATTACTCAAGGCTCACAGCCCCGAGTGACCCTATACCCAAGACCTCGTGGTGTCATTCACACAGTGTCTGCGATATGAGATCCCGTTTTTGAAGGGGTTGTCAACACAACAAAAGAAAAAAAAGTTGAGAAATCTTTCTTCTCAACCTCCAATATAATTTAATACTTTTTCCATGGAAAGCCTAAGGCACTATATTGTGCAAGCAGAAATACTGGGAACTCTCCGGTCACAGCTAGTAGGTCTCCACCGCTCCCCCCGCCCCCTCACCGACTGAGGTTCCAACAGAGCTATACAGAAGGAGGCCCTGCAGAAGAGCTGCCAACCCGGAGTCCCTGTTGTTCTTTGAGGTGCAGCTGAAAGCTGCATCACCTCACACGCCCACCTGGCCCCCTTCTCCAGTGTGCTATTTCCCGGAGCCATCCTCTGCAAGGAGGCAGCTCCTTGATCCATCAGCCAATCCCCTCTTAGGAGCCAACTCCTGGCTTCATTGGCTGGGTCCTGCAAGAGAAGACCTGCCTCCAAAGCAGCTGTGGCAGGGTGCTTGGCGTCAGGATGGGGTGGCAAAGCTGGTGTGTGTTAGCACATTCTGGGCTCAGGAAGAAAAGACCAAACAAACCATGATGTCAGGTGGAGAATTAGTTGAACCCTCCATCCAAACAAATACAAGTATGTAAGTTTCTATTACACTTTTATCTTTAAATATTTCAAATAATAATGGCATAAAGCTGGTTATAATGTCCTTTGTTGGCATTTTACGGTATCTTGTTAACTGTAGGGCGCCACCTGGAATGAAGCCTATTAATACAGCTCTTCATTTGACTAACATCTGCTGGGCAGCCAGTCGGGGTCAGGTGCTGTGAGAAGCACTGAGAGTAGAAAGACTCCGAGGCCCTGTCCTTTCCATCAGAGAACTCAGTCCAATGGGAGGCTGGCAGGTGAACCCAGCACCACGGCAGTGAGACAGGCCGATGAGCCGGGTCTGTAAACACCATCGCACAAACACTGGAAGGGACTCCTCGCCCAGGCAGGAATCAATGAGTGTGCACAATTCACTGACACAGGGGAAAGGTGGAAAAGAAGAGCACGAGGGGTGAGCTGGGTATCTTTAGTCCAGTGGTTTGGAGTGTGAGGAGGTCCTGTGGAGAATGGCAGGAAGGCGAGGAGAGTAATATACTGGGAAGGGCACCAGGCAGGCAGATCAGTCAATAAAACCCCAGCTCTGCCCCTTACAAGTCGTGTGGCTACAGGGGAGTCTGACTTTCCCTGAGCCTTAGTTTCTTCATCTGTAAAATGAAGGGAAATGAGAACCAACTCTCTGCCTCATTCCACCTTAGACGCTCTTTCCTCCTTCTCTCCCATTCCTGACCAGTTCTTAGGCAACTTTGAAAAGCTGAGTCTATGTTTGAAAAGCCCCTGAAATCTGTCCCTTTGTCCCACATCTCATGAAAAACTCTCCTTGTCCCCATCTCTCTGGCCAAAGATTGGTACTTGGTAAATGTTACGTATAAAAAGGGAAGGTTCCTCATCCTGCTAGTTCTTCCAGAGTTACACCTGCAGGGTGTCATCCAGCGTATCGGGGTTTGAATTACACATAATCTAACATTTGGGGATTAGCCATTACTTAGGGATGTCCAGACCATTTGTAGGTAATTAAGATACATACCAGCATCTGTGTTTACACACACATACACGTATCTGATTTAGAAAACTCAACAAAGTTTATTTCCTCTAAGGCACAGCGTTCTCTGGGTTCTAACTGTCATCAACAAAGTTTTCCAGGCCCTCATTCCCACCAGAGCCTCAGCATTCTTTAAAACTCTTCAGCACCAATGACCTGCATCACTGGCCCAATTTTAGCTCCCTATTGATGTGGCAGAAACTGAGAGTTCCTTATGGTGTGGGTCTGTCATTCCACTCTGCTCGTGTCTTTCTCTCCCCTTTTTCTTTTCCCTTGACCTCACTTCTCAGCTTGTTCTCTGCCCTCTTTGTGACCTCATTGAGTTGGTCCATTCCCTTTGGACCACTTACCTCCTTAGCCA